ATCGTATGGAAATAGTGTTTTCTCTCCTACACCACAAAATCTGTTGGTCTTCCTATCCCTTAAGTTTACAGCCAGTTTAGAAATTGTGAGTTCTGTGATGTGCAAAATCTAACAGAGAATTCAATCTGTGCTGGAAGACCATGAGCCTCTCTAAGGCTGCCCTGATGACTGCAATATCAAGAATTACTCAACCTGTCTCTGAATATGAGATAAATCCTTCTGAAATCTGTCAATAACAACTGGAAAATCTATTATGTCATGGGAGGAGAGAAAATGTGGATTTGAGCAATTGAGCTGCTTTATACCCAAGTTTTCACATGAGCTGTATTTTATTTTAATATATTGAGCTAAATACTACCCGACTACAATTTCCTACATCTCTAGTGCTAAAAGCATTTTTGTAGCCTTTATGAGACTCTGAAAAAAGAGATCCTTCACTTAGTTGCAAAAGCTGATCCTAGAGATGAGAAGGTCTGATAAAATAGGTAAGTAATTAGAAGTATGATCAAATAACTCAGTAAACAGCATTACCCTCCGTCAATTGTATATACTGTATGCACTAAGCATTAAATATATTGGAGGCTGTATATAGTAATGAAAATACCAGTGTAGAAATAAAATGCTAAACTAAGGTTCCAAACTTGTCTGTTTCTGACTGCCATGTGTCAGAAAAATGAGAAGAAAAATCAAAGCCAACTCCAGAGAGGAGGAGTCACAGAAGATCAACACTGAAAAACAGAGTTTGCCAAAACCCTCAGAAACTGAAGTCCTGGAGATGTACACAGCTCTGCTGGGGACTTAATTTTTATGGACACTTTCCCTTTTAGCCACTGGGCCCCAGTTGTCTCAGGTCAAAACTACTGAAAGGCCCGTGGTTCCTGCTGAATGTTCCGCCCATTTGCTTGGCAGAAAAAAAGCACTTCACAGCCCCTGCAAAGCTGCCTCTAAAACTCACTGGTTTAAGGTTACATTTTGACTTCTCCTTACTTGGAGTGTGACTGAAAATACCACTTGTTTTGGCAAGAAAACTGGAAGAGATTCAGTGTAATAGGGGTGAGAGGACCAGTTATTAACATCTCAGCAGGAGCCATTCAGGGATGTGCTGCAGTCTCCTCATACTTTATACCTAAGGCAGCTTCAAATTTGTCTGAAATTTCTCTCCCCTCCCCACTCCCATAGGAGTTACTTTACTTTTCAGTGAAAGAGTACTGAGTTCAGGAAACCAAAGTCAAACATACCACAGAGGAGTTTTAGGCAATCCTCCTCAAGCATTTCTCTGCAAACCACAATCCTTTACAAAAAAAGCACTCTCAAAAGACAACCCCCCACCTCTGAACACATAAAGCTCTCCCTCCACATCCTCCCCCTTCAGCCACAGACTCTCTGGAAGCAGATACAATATTTTGGGAACATGATAGAGACGGGGTTCATGGACTACATGTTGACTCCTGCTGACTCAGTAACCCCTTTAGAGTTCACAAGCTCACAGTTTGAGAAGGCAAGGCAAAGAAAGATAATACGTTAATTTACAGAATCTATTACCTTTTTCTTTACCATCTGCCTGCCTCAAACTGAACACGTAAGAGACTTCCATTAGGAACTGACAGCTCTAGATAAAGTGAGCCTGCAGGGTTATAAACTTGCATTTCCTCTCCAGCACACAAGGTATCTTGCATCTAACAGATATTTTTCCCGTCTTTCCTCTCAGAGGGAGGTCCAACTAAGGTAACTCCCTTTCATGAAGCAGTTTTAACTCTGCATTTAGAAGTTAGGATAAGGATGTGCAGGCAGAGTCTTTCTCAAGGTTTCACTTCACACAAGGATAGAAGGATACTCTAAGTAATCAAGTTTCTTATAGCTACAAAACACAGCAAGTCATATCTATTTTAATTCCTCTATTAAACTTACAGATATATCTATCCATACAAAAAAATTTTGTATGTATATACACACACAAACACAGAAACTGTGGTTTCCATACAATTTCTGCATATGTAACTACAGTTTGACATTCAACAAAAGACAGGATCCATAGCAGTCCTACCACAGTAAATCCAGTGCAACACAGAAATCAGGATGTTACAGTGCAGGTGAACCCAATCAGCTTGTTTGACCTTGGCAGGTATCACTGTGGATATACTCAACATTTGCTTCTGTTCTGTTCATTGTTTGGTGTAAGAAAAGCTCTTTCATTTAAGCTCCATCTCTAGTCTAAATTTAAGGATTAAACAACCCCCTAACAATTTAGGAAAAACACAGCATCCCTTTGCTTTCATTTAAGGCTGCCAGCTAACGAAGCGGGTCTCAGCTGGTGTGAATCAGCGTGATCCCCCCTTGCAGAGCGTGGCAGACGGAGCCTGGCGGCAGCTGCCGACTGCCTCCCACCCACCAGAGGCTGCGGTGCAGGTCCAGCAGTGAGGATTTCAACTAAGTGCTGTAATCAGTTACGGAGGAAACTGAATAAAATACTGGCAGTTAAAATATACCCCCACAAAGCCGAGCTACAGCACTGTTTTCACACTACTGTTCTAGCTTGATTTTAGCACACGTTCGCTTAACAGTAACAAGCTCTTACCACAGGAAAACGGCAGCTTGTAGGTAATCCATTTGAAATGTCTTTTCTACCTTGTACTTTTCCATACAAATTTAGGTTGGTGAACATGAACAAAAGCATCTTTTGAAGCAGGGAAAGTAGAAACTCACCATTTTCATTTCACTCTCACTTGCCACATGCAACAGTGCCCCAGAGGAGGATGAGGTGGTGGCAGAGCCCTGGCGTGGCCTCCCGGGTCCCATGGCAAGCCCTGAGAGGAATCAAAGCCCTGCACAGAAGAAAGTCTTGCATGTAGGTAGTTACAGATTCAAGACTTAACATGCCTCTTTACAAAAGTTACCAAATCCTGTCCACCTTTGGTTAGGTCTCCTAGGGACAGCTTCCAGATTTTCTCTTTTAACTTAACGCTGGGTGGTGCCATGAGCAGACATGCAGGCTTGTGAAACACCTACCACTACGGTACCCACTGCACGTGTCCCACACACACCCCTTCTGACACAGACACAGCAGTGTGAAGGTGCATACCCCACAGAGCACATACTCACCCCTCCTTCACCTGCAGGCCAGGAGCTGCCAGAGGCTCAGCCACCTTCTGCAGATTCCTGCAGTAACACAGCTCCCAAGCCACCGGTGCACATCTCCAAAGGACACTTAGCCCATCAGGTGCACCAGAAGTGCCAATTCTCCACTGCCAGGGCCCACCTGAACCTCATCAGGGGTCGTTCTCTCCACTGCTGATCCAGGTGTGTTGCTTCTCCTGTCTCACTGGCCACTGCTCCCCAGCTGGGGCACTGGCTAATACACTTCCACTAGAGGTACAGCTGTGTGCGTGTGTGTCTGTGGACAGACCAGCATGGGCTTTCTACATGCTCCAAACCAGCCCAGAATAACAACGTAAAGGCTTCCAAAAGCTTCATCTTCCCTGACAGCTCTCCGGGTACTGATGGAAAGAATAAAAGAGGCCTAAAAGGTGAGGTCTTTTTTACTGCTTACTGCTCGTGTGTTCTTCACGTTCTACACGTTTTTCTTCAAACCATCCACATGGGTGAAAGCAGCCCTGTCAGCCCCATTGTTTCAGATGGAGAAGTAAGTTAAAGCAGGGAGGAAAATTTCTGTGGTGTACAATAGGTAGACTGAACACAAAACTTCCCCTGTAGAGAATAAACTAATGTCCTTTACACAATGTATAGTGGACAACTAATTAAAAGTATTGCTCAAATGACCACACAGATCCAGGTCCAGTAGTTTGGGGGCTTTCCCCCCCCCCAATCTATTGTTCTGAATTTCTCCCATGACAGCTGTAAAGACCTGCCTTCTCATTTCCCAAATGAACATGTTTGGTCATGTAGGAATGGCTGTAAAAGGGGCTGAAAGCAGTGTGCCACCGGAACAAGCTGAACCAAGTATTAGGATGCACACAAGAAAATGTCACACAAGGTCATGCAGGTACTTTTAAAAATCCCATTTTAGCACAAAGCCTGAGACTCACTGATGTCCAGAGGCTGTTCTGCCATGTTCTCAACGGCACCAAAATATTACAGGTAGGTTTTATAAGGACCAATCCCATGAAACTACTCATTAGTAAGACAAACAGTTCTAAAAGAAAGAAGATGTCAAATGACTGTGGGGTCACACACTCAATTATGGTCTTTTGTTTGGTAATTCTTGCTCAGGGATTCATGATGAATGCACCAGGAACACTGTTTTGCTTGAAACTGCCAATACCCATACACTGGTGGTATCAAAAGCAACACACATTCTAGCAGTGCTTTTGTATGAACCCCTTGCTGCACTTAAAAGTGTTGCTGTAGAAGCAGTCTGCTGTTCTAATTTGAAAAACATGTATTTTATTACTGCTTTAAGACTTCATATATGATTTTACAGGGCACCATGTAAGCTTGCCTAGCATTCTCCAAACCAGTAATCCCTAACCCAGAGCCACAGTCAGGAGCTTTACAAATGAATTTTCATTTCTTCATGAATTATCCTCTTCCAAGATTAGGAAAACACAAATAAATTGCTGAATCCACTTTGCTGATTTGCCACATTTTTCTGAACAACAAACAAGAACATTTCTCTCCAGAGACTGAAATTTCATCAGCTATGTTGATTACCTTTATCCATGAATTAGAAACCTGAACTTATTTTGGTAGGTTAAAAAGTACATCCATATTCATGCCCATATCCTTAACACATGTTTAGGTTACAATATTCCCAGTCAATATTGTGTGGCTCTATTTTTGGCTTACGCATGTAGGCAATTCGAACCAGCTCATAATTAATCTTAATAAACAAAACATATGAAGAGCGGACAGACAGTGTTTGCGTGTGTGCAACTTGGGTATGTAGCTAAGTAGCTTACCCCACAGTCACATCATGGGTCAGCAGCACTACCAAGCACAGAGCTCAGATTGTTCATATTCAAGTTCACACTAGATCCCACAGATACTTTTAGAATAACTGGTTGTTTATTTTAATGAAATGAGTAAAATATTTCCTCCAAAAGAATTATTAATGTTTCACATTCTTAGTTTCAGTGCTTCATTTCCCAGCATCACACATGCATGGGTTACACAAACATAGACAGGGCCAGAAAAGCTTACTTCTTTTTGTATTGTCAAGACAGTTTGATTGTTTCTTCTCCAAGGAACTTGGAAGTCTGTAAGAAGCAGAAGTGCTGGAAAAGAAGAATGTACAGAGGAAAAAAAAGCAAACAACAACGTTGGCCCTTCAGAGCTACTCCTTCTTGAGTTTGCACTGGCTGAATGCTGCAATACAATTTTGTCACAGTACCGTAGGATTTTGTGATTTGGAGTAGATGGAATGCACTATTGTGCACACTGAAGAAAGAACACCGACCACAGGACTACCCTCCACTACCACTGTTGGACACTCTGTCCAGGAAAATTCCAGAAAACCCACGTATCTTCCGGGAATTCACAATACCTCCCTACACTCCTAGGTACTTCAGGTAGAAGGTGTTCAGGTAGTGATGGCCGAAGATAAGTAGATCCAGATAAGCTGATATGTTTGGGTTGAACATGACTGGATGTCTGGTAGCCACTTTTTCATCGATTTCTTCTGTTGATGCTTTGGTTTCAGTGTTGGTTTAGTTTTTTTGTTTTTCTGTTTGTTTGGGGTTTTTTAGTTCAGGCTTTTACTACCATAATAACAGGGTTGTAGGTGTGGATTTAGGTGGTTTCTTTTTTTAATTGGGCATAGGACTTGTCCCTTTCAATCATCAGCTACTCACCACTGCAGGAAAGCTTCCCAATTCAGAAATCAGTGTATTGATATTACTACACAGAAAGGAGTATCTCATCCCCACTCAGCAAAAGAAAAGAGAGTAATTTAAACAAGTAGTATGACAGTGTATCACTGTAACCATTTCCACAATGTGTCTGTGGCCAATTGCTACAAAAAATTTATAACTTGCTTCATGATTACCTGCTGTTGCAGGGAGATAATCACAAAGGGATCAGGATTCAGTGACAGAACACTTAGCTACACAAGAAATAAAAATTATGTCAATTATCAAGGAAGGCAGAACTAGTAGTTTTAACTGTAATGAAGCACATGAATCCTGGTACCAGACCAAGGCCCCCAGAACTCACCTTTTAAAAGTATGTAAAGAGACAAATTCTGCCAGGTAATTTACAGTGTTTGTACCGGAGCAGAGACCAAACGAGATGCCACAGTAGAAGAAGTGAAGGAGTTGTGGGTACCACAGCCCAGGCACCATGGCTTCAGGAAGCCTGTAGTCCCATCTGTTCCATATGGCTTAAAAGCCTGCAGGGGTTAATACAGACTCAGAGAATCACAGAATCTAGTTCCTCCATGGAGACAAAACTACGGAAGTGACTGTCTGCTTGTGGATATTTTAAAGAAAAAAGAAAACATATGGCCCTCTGGAGCTATGCTTGCTTTTTCTCCAGCTGGTATGACACAGAGAACAGATAGCCTAGGCCTACAACTAAATGCAAAAGCTTTATTTCAAGGAGCAATTAGGGAACAATTTAGGGAACATGCTTCAATTTTAAAAGTTCTCAGATTAGCAAAGTGGAAACAAAAAAACTGAGAATGCTCATGTACACTAACTAATAAAACTGTTAAAAGCACAAAATATCTTAGCTGCATAAACCAGCAGTGTCTTACCTGTGTGAGGAATATTTCTGTGAACTATCAAAGACAACTTAGAATGAATAATTAAAACCAGCCTTTTCTCTCTCAGATGTTACTTTGTAATTCCACACATAGACTAGTAGTGAGCCAAAATTAAAACAGAAGAATGGGTTTAATTCAGAAGGCTAGAAAGAAAGATGGGTAATTTAATTTATAAAATCAGAAATTTTATTTAAAAGTGTGACCCTGTGGATTAAAACCACATTTGTGATAAATATAGTCAAGGGCAGATATGATGCATGTCTTTAACTTCAAGCCTTGAAACATGCTGGTAAATGTTTCAGAGTACAAACTCATTCCTTAGTCTGGGCCCAAATGCAGAGCCAGCGTGTGCAAACAGCCCACCAACTTCTGAACCCCAGCAGGAGTGCCTGTGGCTCATAGGGATCTGGAATCATGCACTTCCCAGGGATGGCAAGGCCAGGAGGGATGTTAAGAAGTCATCTAGTCCAACCTCTGCCAGAGGATGAACTGTGTCTAAAGCACTGCCAATGTTTAAAGTCTTATTTAACTTTTATATTAAAATTTAAGTGAATGATCTTATAATATTCTCAGAAAATGTATTGCAGGGCTTTGCATAGTTATCGCCAGGATTATTTTCTCCTAATGCTTAATCTGAAGGTAGGCAGTTACCTCTTGTTCCATGAACACGGAGTTTGGAGAACAAGGTTTGGGGTTGTTTTTTTACTGTCTTCTCTGCAATAGCTTTTTAAAAATGTCAATACTCCTTTAGTCCTTGCTCCTACAGACTAAACACACCAAATTCTTTCAATTTCTACATACAAAATAATCTTGTCTAGCACTCTCATCTTTCTTGTCTCTCTCCACTGGACTCTTTCCAACTAGCCCCCAACCTCCCTGAAGTGTGGTGCCTGAAACCAGATATAGTATTCCAGCTCAGACCTCATTAGACCTTATTAGGCCTAATTAGAGTAAAAGGTTATTTCATGTGAATTTAATGGGATATGCTTATTTATTCAGTCTAGCATGAAATATGCTTTTTCACAAAAACATGACATTATTGACCCATGATTAATTTGCCATTCACTGGAATACGCATGTCCTTTTCAACAGAATTGCCATAACTAGTTAGGTCTCCTCCATCCTCTTTCTGTTATTTACTTGAATTCAACACCTTATATTTGCCCTTACTAAAGCAAATCCTACTTATGTTACCTAATTTCAGCAACTAATTTAAATAACTTCTTGCTGTAATCTATTCCTCTGATACACTTTCAGGCTTTATAATCAATAATTACTTGTAAATGAGGTATCTATTGCATAATCCAATTTGTTTTATAAAGCATATAAATTAGCATAAAACTGACTTAAGTAAAGGCCTTCTTATTACATCTTCCTAGGTGAGAGTGAATTGTTAACAACAACCCTAGCACAAATAACTCTTGTAGATCCATTTAAACTATGCTTTCTACACTGGCTATGAAAATGTCAAAAGTAGACTTTACCAAAAGCCCCTTTGGTAAAGTCTTTTGTGTCACTTTTCCAGCTTCTACGTTCACAAGTCAATTATTCTGTGTGAATCAAAACATTCTGTCACAGAAGAAACTGTTTGATGGGATTTATCTTTCATGGTATTTCCCCTTCTCTCTGAAATTGTGCATTAAAATAAAAGCATTCTTGAATTGAGAAAGATGTATAGAAACTATTTTTCCACAGAATAAACATTAAAACCAATTAAAATGCATATTTCAATTTGTGAAGATCTCCTTGTTTTTGCCATAAACCATGTTATCTCACACATCAAATAGATCGCAGGAATATGTAGTTGTCCTTATCCAATTTTATTTCCTTTAACAAAAATGCATACTTATTCCAGCTACATTCCCTGCATCTAAATTAAGATCCTGAATTAAAAGACAGTGAAAATTGGCTTTTATTCTTTTACAGACTTTGGTGAATTCTGGATCAGTCCAGTGGTGAATGGAAATTCTTTCCCCAGCTGTTACATTTTATTGCAAGCACTGCTGTCCTGCACACTCAGACAGAAGTCGTAGGTCTTTAAGTAGTCTATTTTTATCTACAGGTTATGCTACATAAATGATATAAAAGGCTAATGATGGACACATGTTGGACTAGGTTTTCCAAAGACACACTGATGCCACCACGCAAGGCAACTCTTCAAAGAGAAAGAGCCAGAATTCACAAACTTGATGGAAGTCTTGATACTAATCCATTAAATGTCACACATATTAATCTAAACCACGTAATTTCATTGGTCTGATCTTTAATACTGTACTTGATGTTACAAATAAATTAAAGCTTTAATATTTAATTTATAAAATTTTCCCATTTCAATGTAAAATGAACAGTAGGTTTAAAGTAAAAAGAGTTTTGTGGAGGCAAGAGCTTTCTTTAACTTCAACAAGATTATAATTTTATAAGAGTAGAGAAATGTGTAAACATAAATATTCATGATTTTCTTCTGTACACATCTGTGTAAATTGGTTGATATAAATATAATTTACTATAGAAACATTGTTTGTTTATGCTATACACAGTTCTATGCTGGCATCACGTACTAATTGATTAATCTTTCAAAGAGTGAGATTTATGCATTTTGCATTCTAATCCCCAGTATGTCCATTGCCAGCAGTGGACTTCATGCTCAGAGAATCAGACTCACAGTGTCAGCAATCTAAAATTACACTTCAGAACAAGATTATAAATAATCAAAAATCAGTGTATTATTTTCATATCATAATCGCCAAATGCTTAAAGGCCATGATCCATGCCAACCAAAATCAATGACTGTTTTCCCATTGACTTAGCTGAAATTCACTTGCAGTTTCCAGCCCCTGTAGATTCTCATTTTAGTTTTGCAATTTTGTTACAGCATGAAGAGTTAAAAAGTACGTGGTATCAGAGCTTCAGAGTGAGAAGTAAAGCCTCTAAGTCTTTCTGGGCCTCTTTATCCTGAAAGAAACAGACAATCATGCATCAACTTAGATAGGATAAATCCCTTCATTCTCCTAATACTTGCCTATCCACATTTCTTTACTCACAACAGACATAACACAAAACTGCAACAGCCACAAAATATAAAGACTGCATAGTAAGTTAATTTATCAGTGAATACAAAAATAAAGTGAAAACAAGAGCCAGGTGGCAGCCCTCCCTTTACAGCTCTGTTAAAGCACTTAAAATGTTAGCCCACAAATAGCCTTCTCAGCAGACCAGTAAGTTTTTCAGCTTGGGATGTAACTTTTATTGGTGTACTTTACATAAAGTATTGCCTTCCCTTATACCTGACGTAATCTGGCAACCCAACTGCGTGCAGTTTTTTCGAAACATATTTCTGTGATGTTTACGAATGATTTCTTATGAAACTAAGAAGAAAACATTGGGAAATGTAATTAATGACATAGGTTAGATTGTGGTGTCAGTGCATACAGCCATACCTACCTGTAATAGCCACCATGGACTGACTACACCCTCAATATCTTCCAGACCAGTGTTGGTGGGCTCTGCCTATGCTACTGGGCTCTGGGCAGAGTGGAGCCAACGGGGGAGCAACTGGGAAGTAATCTGCTCTGCTCAGAGCCAACACTATATTGCACCTCCTGAGGCAGAAGGGAAAGGCTTCTTTTAGGCCAAAGTGTTAAGTGCACAGTTTGCATGGGGCTTTAAACCAAACCCAGGCCACAGACTCTCTCACAGGTAACTAGTGACATATGTTTTGGCTATTCCATGTATGTTTGGAAAGGGGTACATGCATGTAAGTATGTAACCACAGCACAAAACCTCCATAATTCTACTTATTTTTAAATGTCCCTGGATATAACCCACTTGCTTTAGTCACCACTGCAAAACTTCTAGCTTGCAAACTGCACCTTGGTTTAAAACCACATTTCTCAAAAGTCAGCGCCTCATACCTGAAGGCTGGTAAGAGTCCAAACATGCAACACATGCAGCCATGGGTACTTAACAGTGCAAGTGGAAAGTACCTGCACACCACAGATTTTATGCAAGTATTTCCAATCACAGGGACCAGTAGCGATAATGCCACAGGCAATTCTGAAAGAAAATACTGTAGACAGTCAATGAAGTAATCACTGAATTTCAGGATCACTTCATTATCCAATCAACCAAAGAGCTGGAACAAAATACAGGACATTTTAAAATATATTTTATGGGTGAAGAAATTCCTGCTTCTCTTTATTTTGGTTAGTTGTCTAAAATGTCATGGAAGAACAGAGAAGAATATTGAGATGATAGAAACCATATGCCAGACATGTCAAACTACATTATATTATTGGTCTGGATTAAGGCATTAATACATTAGCTGGACACTTCTCTTGGAGTCACTGCCTTACTCCCACTGGCAACAATAGGCTAAACTATCTGCCTAATCATTTATCAGAGGCCTTAAAAGGCACACACTGCAAAGCCAGCAAGCTCTTGCCAAAATAACTCTAACAGAAGGAAATGTCATGCTGAATTCCGCACCCCTTAAACTCCACGTCACTACTGGCTGCCTGGAGCACCAACCCATTGCTTTCAATAAAAATCGGAAAACTCTAAATTTGTATCAATATCTTGCTTAATTCAGGGAAAATAAACTCTTTTCTGTACGGACTGTGGTCAACTTGTGAAAATGATTCTAAACTCTATTAAACAAAAAAGTAGAAAGACAGATATTGTCCTACGGTATTAAGAAATGGAAAAGTTTCATTTTATCTGGTTCTACTCTTTTGACACTTTTCTAAGCTGAAAATTGTAAAGATACAGGTTTTCTCATACCTGAATGATGTTTAGCATTTCACGGGATTCTTTACTCACTTTGCAGGATACAGCATTTAAAAAATATATCTCCAAACAACTTTGTATAATTGTCTCTCTGCTTAGAAGTAAAGGATTGTATTGGGCAATGAGCTTTAAAAGTTGCAAAGGTCTCAAAAATATTGGGCAATCTTCCCTGAATCTTCCTCTGGGCTTAGGAAAAAGAATGGAACAAACCCGTGACTGTTCTAAGAACTGTCTGGAGAAGAAACTGCAAACGTGCAAAGCGTTCTACCTCTGGTTTGCCAGTTCTAAACAAGACTACATCAGTAAAAGCAGGAATTATTATTGTTGCAAACTACTTAACTGGCTGAATTAATTGAGCCAGCAGCTTCCAGTCAATAAGAACTCATATGGCAAAAGCATGGAAAAAAATCAGTAATGGTATTAAAAACAAGGCTGAGAATGGTCAGTGAAGGGAACTATGATGTCACCTTTGAATAGAGTCCTTCCAGACCAAGAGGTGTGTCACGCTAAAAGGAGAGACAAGCTAGGATTCTGTTCAGTGCACCAGTTTCCAGGTTTAAGGGTGAAAACTTCATTAATGCCCAAAGCTTGACTGTTAATGGAAAGACAAAGCCATAAATCCTCTATTTGGCCAACTCTCTTCCTTGATGATTTCTGGGTCTGTGGCTTTCTGTAAATGAACAGTAAGGTTGGCTTTTTTTTTTTTTAATTATTTTTAAGACAGGCAGGCTCTGATCTCCCTTTAGAATGTGGCAGGCAGAGGAAGAGGTGCAAGTCGTAGGAGGAATGCAATATATTTGCGTCAGTTCCATTTGTTCACCCTAAGGCTTAGTTCAGCACTGACTGAATACGCCATTTTCAACCTTGACTTTCTACTGTCAAGGCTTGCATTTATTAAACACTTATATCATTTTCAGAGTTGAATAGGAGTTCAAAATGTTCTGCAAACTGCTACACAAAAGCTATTCAAATTACAGGGTCAGAGACTGTATTTTTCCTTCTTCCTATTTAGTTGCTTTTCTTTTATGTTTCATCATTCACAGGAGATATGCACATGAAAAAACAGACCTGGGAGGCCAGAGACCGAACAGGGGAAGAGAGGGAGTTGAAAAAAAGAGCAAGAAGGAAGACAGAGCTGGTGGGAAAAAGAGAATGTTAGCTTAACTGGAAGTAGTCCACATTTTGACAGTTCATTTCTGCTGAAAAAAAATTTACCAATAAATACATATACACACAGACTTACACATATAAATGTGCATGTAAAAATTAAATGGCAATTAAAGCAAAGACGGAAAGATAATGATTTTACATCTCTGACAATTATTTCCTTATGCACTAAACACACTCAACTCAGGCACTGCACATGTGTGCACTTGTTGACAAAGTCCCAACTGTCAACAGAGAACGATACACCCCCATGACCATAACCAAAATGGTTACACCAGCCAACAAAAACATAATTGTGTGCAACCACTGCCAAATCCCAAGCTGACATGCATCCTGTAGGGTTTCATTGAAGCCAGCAGGGCAGATTGGTATATTAAACGAGCTGAGCTGCAAGGGTGGTCCAAAGCTGTACTCTGATATGCAGTAACAGCAATGAGGTGCTGAGAGACACTCCTGCTTTCGGGTACAGCTGTATCATTCCCTTGCAGCTCCACGAGAAATCCTGGACTGTAACAGAAGAGACTCCCACACATGCACAAGGATTGTCAATTAGAGAGCAAAAGCTCTTGTGGACAATATAAATCACACAAAGCTAAACGCTATCCCTCCTCAGGTTCATGATCAACTCTCACAGATGATGTGACTGTAGTGGGCACTAAAAATTGCATAATACCATTTTTTCCCCTTAGATATTTCAATACACAATGCAATCACCCACTTGCCAGTTTCTATATGACTGCTGTATGTCACAAGTTAGGGCATTTTGTGTTCTTTCACATTTTTAGTATCTGCCTCTGGGGATTAACTGTGACTTCTCAAGGCCTTTAGGATTAAGGTAAGCACATCTTTAAAATATGTAGCTGATAATAATTACACATTTTTGGAAATTACTTCAAGTAGAGGGAAAAAATACCCTTTAACACGCAGAAGTCTGCGAATAAACAGTTCAGCTAGTCCAAGGACTGCTGTTGAAAAATTAGAAAACAGCAGAATACAATCTAGAATAATAAAACAGCCATGTAAAATTTTTATACACTAGTTCTTTTCTAATTTAAAAGACTAAGTTTCACCTGTAATCTGGCTTTCTTTTACTACTGTACACAATGTGGAGCTTTTGGTGTTCAAGACATTCCCCTCCTTCTCTTTCTGTCTGGCTGCTGCCCCTACCATGACGGGACCTACAACTTTTCTTTCTGCACAGTTACTGCTGAAAGAGCTTGAACACAATCACGCCCAGGTACAGCCCCTTCAGAAAGATGCCTGTCGAGGCTTTCCTTCACTCTGCATATTGAGTCCAAGACCATATATTTCAAGATCCTAGAGGCATAACTTGGCCCAGCTACACTACAAAAATTAAAAATAGGTTTTTGCAATCCTGCAGTGCACCACCACCTCTGTGAACATTTCTCCCACTCTGCTCCTGCATCATGCCCCTGCCCACATGCCAGCAGAGGAGATAACACTTCTGCACCTTGAGGGATCATCAGCTGATCAGTCTTGATGGACCAAGAGCTATGCTAAACCTGTGTTACCTTCGATAGGATGTTGAAATGAATGCTTTGTGACAGACAGTTTAATCACAAATATGATAAGCTTGGTATTTATCAGGATAGACTTTATCCTTATGTATGAAACTATGACGCCACAAAAAATATCTTCATCACTTTTTGGAATTGTTTTTGGAGGGAGACAGTGCAAACAAACCTTTTGGCAAAGCTTCAAAAACATGCAGATAGAAAATTGGTCTAATCACTAAGGTAGAGAAATATAGACTGTATTATTTGAAGTGCAAATACAGGCAGTTTCAAATTCTTTTAGCAACTCTTTATCAAATGTCTCATTTTCCCCCAGCATTTTACAGATTAAAATCTGATCTCTTTCTAATGAGATTTTAAAAAGTGTATTCCCTGAGCTTGGAGCACCCACACTGAGAGCATACAAAACCACTAATCAAGGAATATTTTTAAAGTATATTCAAAAGATATTTTATTTTTTGGTTGGTGGTAGCTGTCAGAAAATTCTTGTTCAACTCCACGAACAGTATTAGAAGGAAAACAATAGCTTAGAATTTAAAAAGAACACAAATCTGACACTTCCATTATTTTGCAACTGAAACACCATCGACTTTTGCTGACCATTTGGAAAACGAATGTGCATAAAATCTAAAGCAACAAGTATGCTCTGAAAAGAATGGCTTTTTGTATTAAGAAGAAGATGTTGAGAAAAGAAAATGTTCTTTTTGATGAGCAAACAAAATCATTTTTATAAAGTTAAACCATATTATTCACATAGTTTCAATCAGTAGTTTTTTCACAAACAAGTCATAATTTATACCCTTCACTTTAAAAGCAAAAGAAAATTACTTTTTTCTCCTCAAAAACTTACTTAGAAGGACAGATTACCACAGCAGCTTCAAACGATATCTGTCGGAAATATCACAGCAAGGACTGCTACATATGGTGGCTAGAGTAGTATTTCTTGAAAAATCTTGAAAATCCAGATATACAAATGGTCTGTTGTAATAGGAACAGCTGATGGGTACTGAAGTTTATACTCTGATCTCCCTTCTATCCCCCTGTGACTCCTACTCTTTTCCTTACCTACAATATTAAAAATAAAATTAATAACCAAGGAGATTATGGTGATGTAAAAAAAAGTGTAAGAAAATTGTATGGGCATGATTTCTCCTCAGCAGCTGCAATCCTGTGTAAACATTCAGCCATTGTTCCTGCCTATTATTACATTTACCTCCTCTTCCACACGAGTTTCAGATGTCACTAAGGCTAAAGGCAGAGTCTTTAACAAGTCTCTGCTTCCTGCCATTCTACACCTGTAAGAAGTGAATGCCATAACGACCAATTTCTGTAACATCTCAATCTCTCCCACTTTTAATTTCAACTCTGAATTGCCATAATTTGTACTTGCTGGGAAGGACCAAGTGTTTTAAATCACCAATAATTTTGTAAAAGACAGTCTAAGCTTCAGGGAAGTTTTTATCTGCATTTTAAGTAAGACTTTCAGTAACTCTCAGTGCAAATAGATTTCCTTCGCATTTTTCCTGCTTTGCTGTCTTCGTCTCTTCCAAGACTACACTTTTTGTAAGGTAACTGTTGCTTTATAGATTCATTTTCAAAAAAGTATCATAGAGACCAGAACCCTGAGATTTTAACCTCTTTCTCTGCTAGGCTGTTAATTCCTTTGCGGTGAGCTTACTGGTCCTACAAGCACAGAGTTCACTCTCATACCCATGCTCGTCACCAGATACAAGAAAAAATTTCTTGATTATTATACTTCATAATCCTACATTGAGACTTGAATTTTCGTCAAGTTCCAGCCTTGAAAGTACCCAACAATCTTTGTTATAAACAAGAAATTAGTGTCTTATTCCCCTTACAAGCAAAGCACCATGTGTTTAACCACGCACACACACACGCACACGTGTTTTGCCTTCCTATACGCAAGACAGACACTCGTGTTTTTAAAATTAAATTTCATTTTTGTCTTCAAATTTAAAAAAAGTAATCTTGTTCCATCTCAGTAGTCTATCACATCTGGTTTCAACAGCCCTTCATATAGTCACACTCACCAAGGCTTTGAGCACACTACAAAGTAACGTGTCTCAGTAAGGGTAACACAACATCCACTAGATGAACAGAACAGCTGTGAGGCACTTCACAATAATTCACAGCAGCCCTGAACATTAGGATCTCTTTTACTGAAGGGGCAAATATTTCCCAGGACCCTGAGGTTATCCACCTGGGTAGCAACCAGAGAAAAACTGGACAATTTAATGTCCCATGCACCTCCAGCAGTGAAGCACCACTCTACAGTGTGACAGTATTTATGGCCAAGGAAGAACTGTATGATTCATTGGAGGTTTTTGTTTAGAGTAGAGAGGATAGAAAAAGGTCTCTTAAGTTGCACTGTATCACCAGTTTTGTTTTTCCAGATGTAATTTTCACCAAAACTCACATATTTCCTTTTAAAATAAAAATAATGCATAGACTGTTAGGTTAAAAATGTGCCAAACTATTTTTAAAACCTGTCTTAATTTTAAAAATCATCCTGTAACTCTTAACTTACAGGACTTACAGGAGTTGTTCAATCAGAACTTGTTTCTTCTTTTACAATTTCTGTGGTAACCTTTTTAAGACTCATAAAAGGGTTGAAACTGGCCATCTGATTTTTTTTTCTTTAACAAGAATTAGCTATGTTTGGAAGCCCCTTTACCCCTTGAACTAAAACATATTCTGTAAGTAGTAGGACAGATGCACAGAAGGGATATTTGGATGTGATACAACATTCAAGTCAAAAATAATATCACTTAACTCAAAATGTTACACAAAATGAATCCTAGAGAAAGGGTCAAAGAAGTGTCCTGAGTTACAGCAGCTGAGAATTTGACCTGAGGATTAAAATGAGCTATAGGCTACTTTACTGGTGCCAAGCACCTCTGGTTCCCTGAAGTCACTGGAAACTGTGGATGCTCAGAAGCAATATAAAGTAAACCACTGTCTATGATTATTTTTCTGCAGGATGATTTGTATCATGAAATACTATACATTTCCTCAATGTGGCACCTTTCCAGCAGCTTTGTCTCTCAGTCTGCTCCTGATTTTATGCCTTTATACAAATACATGTTTCTCAATAGGAGCCAACATTTAAAAACAATAAAGGAATTCCCCTGCTTGAAGAAAGAGAGAAAACTCACATGATTACACTTGGGAATGATGGGTTTCACATGACTCTGACAACATACCATGCTGCTGACCATCTTGAGATCCTGTGCTGTGGCAAACTGAAAGAAATCCTCTGACTGCTGCTGACCTGTGCTTTTTGTTTCACGCCACGAACCTCATCTTCTACAAGGCTGCAGTCAATTCAGGCACTTTATCAGCATCCATTTATTGCTGTCTCCCTAATGCCTCCTTAGTCTTATTACAATCTCTTCCCTCCCTTAAACTAATCTGACTAAATGTTATTTCTACGTACAGCTCCAAGCCCTGAACCACTTCATTTCCAACATGATTTTCCAAAAATCACTAACAGTCCTTCTCTAACACAATAACCAAAACAACATGTAATACTTGAATTCAGATGGGATCTGAGGCAACAGCATCAGCAGACTTTGTGTTCCAGATCTTCATATCACAGTAATTCCTTTCAGTGTGCACTTGGTTTTACCCTGTGCTGACTGCTTGGTTGGTTTTTTTAAATCTAATTACTTACTATTGTCCTAATGCCATATTTTTCTGGACTCTTTTTTCTAAACCTCACTCAAAACACATCACAAGTAAACAAGATAAAGGAGACAAATCTGTGATATCTATAGAACTAGTCAAAACAGAAGAGGTCAAATCATCTTGTCTTCTTCAGACTGACAAAAGATTTTTGGGGCCCAGTTGACGCTCTTTCTTCTGTTCACAAACCAGTATCATTCTTACTCTCATCACCATCGTTGTTTGCCAGAATACATACACCTACCCCTCAGACTGCTCCTGAATTCCTGCTCTCACCTCAGGGTTACCCCTCCTTCTCAGGTCTGCGAACACTTCAGAAATGTGATGGGGTAATTTATAGCAGGCAATTTACAGCAGTTTTTCCTATGTTCCATAATAGGCAAGCTGAAGGTATATTTTAACAGTAAGTAAATAATAAAGCAGAGTTAAAATATTGCTTATGTCTGTACCAATACATATTTAAAGAAACACTGAACTTAAGCAATGATTACTTAATTTATGATTGGTACATACCATAACCTGGGCCAAAAAATAAGGCCACCCAGGAGCAGAGGCTGGTGAGGCATGCAGTGGTCTTTCTTCCCAGCAGGAACACTTGACATAAACATGTTAGCGCTCCACACACAGCATTTATTGTCAATCAAGTTACAGAGCTATTTAATGGTCTTTAACTTCAAAGAATTAAATGGGATAGGGCCAATTCGTCTCTGAGATCACCTCTCTCTCTGTACCACATCTGCTGTGCTCAAAGGGGGTCCCTTAGGCTGACAAAGCTCAGGTTTGAACTTGTCACACTCTAGGATGGTAAGATGTTTCCAATCATAGGTTAGTCATTATGGAACTTGCTTCAGAGATCAGATAGAGTGAACCTTCTTGCCATGACTTGGTTTATATTTGAGAAATTAAATAACTTAAAATCTCTCAAATATTGGTAGAAATATTGTGTTCACATACATAAAAACACTCTGAAGGGCCTAAAGAGGAATCTAATAATCTCTTAGAACAATCTATGTTCCCGCAGATGTAACTGGAAGAACTGTGTCTCTTAACTGCACAGTTGTTGAAGACAAAGGTTACCTTGAATAACTCATCTTCCTCTGCTGCAGTCAACATACTGCCCTTGACAAGAATCACAAACCACGGCTTTCAGGAGCAGAGATAGAGATTGTGGGGCAAAAATCCAGAATGCTTTCAACTCAGAAAAATGTAGGTCTGGGGCAAAATTTCAGCACAGCTATAGAGTGACACACGCAACTCCTTATGCTTAAGATGGTCTAATGAAGTGGGTTGAATTACAAAGAGTGCAATTCAGTTTCTGATACAGACAAGTCCCTGACAGTTCCCTAAACAAAGATTTTTTTTAAAGCTGTTGATACAGACAACTGTAATGAGACAACCTAGAGTGGAGGAAAAAGGAAGGTTCTGTATTCAGAGGAAAAACTGAAACATTATGTTGTTACCGACAGTGCAGTAATGGATGCCAAAGACAAGAGAGCAGTCACAAGGGAATAAGTTATCACTCTCAATACCCACCTCATTAGTAACTGAGAGAATTGACAGTGCAGAATCACAGTACTTCAGTGCATTGTTTTTCTGGCCAAGATCTTTGTAGCACTGAGAAGAAAAAACATTTTGTTTCCAATCAGACCACTGTAGGAATACCAGAGTCTACAAATCATTATTTTTAAAAGAACTTGGTTACCTTTGCCAAATACACATAATTGCATTTGGAATATCCTGGATGCATTTCTTCTGCCTAGATAATAAAAAACAGGAAAGAAAATAGACTTAAAACTTGTGTGATGGGATTTATGTGGTCTGCTAACATTTTTAGTAATGCACTACACTTCCTCAAACATCAGACAGAATCATCCCTACTGTGTGTAATGCAATCTGTTTAGCAATTCAAAAAAAACATCAAGAAAACAAGAAAACCTCAAACTCAAACCCTAGACCAGGCACAATAGATGCTGACACTGAACACATAAAAATGTTCTGTACTCCTTGCTTTCCTCTCTCTCAAGTGCTCTGTAAAGATATCAGGTCATTCTGTACAAGATCTACTAGGCACATGCACTTTTTTGAATGACACTGCTCTCTCTAGATTATTAATAATTATTTCCTCGTCAAAGAAATTAGAAAGCAACCAACCATTCACACTGCATAACAAGTAACGAACTGGGTTAATCAACTTTACAATTATTTCTCTTCCACAGACCCATATCATCTAGTTCTGGGTACACATTTCTTTTCACACTACCACCTTCTGAAAAGTTCAGGTTGTTAAAAAAGTTCAAGAATGCCTTCCTTTTGAAACACACCAAGGACATAGAAGCTTGCAAGATGAGTAAAAACCTTACCAACTATCTACTAGCCAAGAAGCAGTTTTAATCAACAAACAGCTTCTGGAGAGAAAAATCACATCAGTGAAATTTATAGTAGCTGTAATCCTTGGACCAAAACAATGCTGCTTTCACCACAACCATGTAGAATCAAGCAATTGAAAAAGAAACCCAAACAGTTGTCTTTTAGAAAGTAATTTAATTTTTGTTGCAGAAGATGACTTAAAACCACAGTCACTCTGCAGCCTACCACAAAATGCCCTGAAGCTAAAGTAAATGTTTCAAATTATTCCTACCACTTTTGGAATGTGACCTTAAAGATAAAATCTCTTAAACTGGGAAGATGGTAATGTATTGTATCATCCAAAATTCAGGAAACCATTCCATCTTTAAATAGACTAAGAACAGAGAAAACAAGCACTGCTGAAAGTGACCAAAATATGCCTGTCCAATCCTTTGAGAAACTTTCTGAAAGTCATTGTAAAGATGGAAGTTTATGCTTTGAATTCAGTCAAGTGAAAAACTTGTACACTTTTCAGCTCCAGAAGTAGAACTGATTCCCACAGAAGACACTGAAAGATAGATTTATTTTATTCATGTGGTGTTTTCTCATAACTGTGTGTTCAAGTAGAATGCCCAGGAACATGGACCTGTATGACACAGCCTTCTTTTCTAATTCACTACAAAGGTAATTTCATCTCCACAAATAAGAAATGCTTCTACTGAAATTCAACAAAAAAAAAGCTTCAGATCAGAAAAAGAAAAGCATCACAATGTTTAAGTTTTCCTTGTCCATGTTAACCCTCCTACAGAAATGGGCAAATCATCAATTATCACTATGATTAATTTGTTTCAATGGCATATATAACTAATCTATATCCCTCTCACATTATATTCAGTAACTATTAATCATGTCAAGTAATTAAAGAATCCTCAAAACAAAAGAAAGAAAGAAAGGTGCTAGCCAGTCATCTCCAAACTAATTTTAAAACAGAAAAGAAAAAATATTTTATTAGAGAGCTCAGTGGTGTTTAGAAGAGCCCTGGATTTATAGCTGCTGAACACGGTCTGTTCGACAGACTTCTTGACAAGAGTCACATACAGCAGATGGTAAACAGCCACATAGGAAAACCATTGACTAGGACGTACCTTAAGGAAATTCTGCAGTGCTTCTTCTACTGTTGAAGTTGGTGGAGTCCCAAAGAGAGCAGTAGCTACCTTCTTTTCAATCCAAGACAACTGAGCTACCTGTAATAAAAAAATTAAATTAAAAAGTCAGATGTCTTCAGGGCTGCCTCTCAGTTTTACAGTAAATACTGTCTTGTATACTGTACTACTTACATGATGTATTTTGCAAAAGAACCTGTAAAGGAATGCTTTATACTGCCAACTTGCCAGCTAAAAGCAGTCTTTTGGATTTTGGATTCTGTTAACAGGAAAATGTGCACGTACGACAAAATACCAAGATCCTTTATACAAGATTATTCCCATATAAAAAGCTTAAACTACATTTTAGGTTTCATAAGACCTTGCCTGTTTTTAAAACTGAAGGCTAGAAATAGTGCTTGAAACTTGTTAAGGTTTTCAAGAGAAAGCTTAGCATGACAGTCTATGTACTTGACAACTTTTCAACATTATGAAAAGCTGTTGCTACAGTAAAAATGTAAGTGCTTTTGGTGCTGGTATAACGAGTTCATTTATTACACAGAAGCTGGTGACAGCCACTGATAAAAAAATAGGCTTCATTTTTTTCTCTTCAAATCTGACAAATAACGCTTGCCTAAGACCTCTTCTCATTTCAGCAAGATGGATGGCTGAGAAAGGACTTTAGGGAACTGTCATATTCCCACACAACGCACATGACTTCTTCCCTTACATATACACCTGACAGAAACTGCTCTGGTTACTGCCATAAGGTACTTGGCTACATCACCCCAACATGGCAAAACACATCTCACATCTATAACAAAGAGTGGAGTTGCTAGGAAATGCAATGTAAGAGCAGAGCCTGTTTAAATGGAGAAGTGAAGCCACTTTCCTTTGGACACTTCTACCACATCTGTAAAGAAAAATCAGGACTTTTTTCCTTTCCATAAGTATTTGAACCACTGCACTGATGGCTCCTGTCACAGAGTACAACTGAGTTGAAAAATGGGAAAAAAACAAGGTTCTGTATTTTCTAGCCTGATCTATGCAGAGGCAACACAGAGAAGAGATATACACAGAAAAAGAAAGAGAGCCTTTCATCAGAGACCTGGAGATGAAATACGAGTCACATATGGACATCTCTTTTCAGAAAGAGCTGCAACTCAAATAACAGAGTTCAGCCTTGAAGTCAAGTTGGTCCTACTGCTGTAAAAATTAAAATGGTTTTGGGTAGTTTTAGATTATTCCTGCCTCATTCCCTGGCTTCCCAATATCCGCAGGGCTGTTGCTGCTCCCCCTACCTTCTCCACCTAAATCCAGCAATTATCCAGTAGATGTCAGTTAATAATTGTAAAATATAAGAATCCACCCACACAGAATTATCCACAGCTATCACTCAGAATGCTTCTCTTTTGAATAGACACCAAGCTCTATGTATTTCTTGTTGCAAACTGCCCTATAAATACCATTGCAAGAAATACAGGTCAGCATGCAACAGGAGAATTCATAGGACCATGTTTTCTAATCTGGTCCCAATGTCTCTAGCTGCACAAGAGCAACACTGCTTGGAGAAACAATATTAAGAAAATAAAGCTTTTGCTTTCATTCTCTCTCACATGTCCCAACTTCATGCTTCTTCTAAGGAAATAAAGTAATTTTTACAAAAGCTCTCCAGCAATCCTAGAGTTCTTACTCACTGAAGCAACAAGGTATTTACCTCTGCAGTGCTTTCACACTGAGTTACAAACTTCAGCATACTGCCTTAAAACTTCAAATTGTAGCTATGCATATAATTTCTTTCCACATTTCATTTCCCTCGCTGTTATATAGTTTCTAGGACATATTCTGCAAGAGTCATTAAAAGCATTTTTGCAAAGGCGCTGTTTTCTTCATGCTAATCTCCTGATGCAGTGTTCTTTCTTCTTTTGGAAGAGAAAGAGGCTTTCTATATTTCTAGGTCCATCACATCAACATAGAGGTAGCTTACAGAGTGAGGAAGAGAGGAGAAAAAAAACAAAGGGAATGGATATGCTTACACTGTTCTCTGCAAGACCACACAACACCCCGGAGATACACAGATACAATTACCATACTCATGTCTGCTGTTATGCAACAGTGAGGAAACAAAATTGCAGTTTTTCCATGTGGAGTTATAATTAGCTATTGAAAACACAAGTTCTTCCTGGCAGTTGTTTTATTTTCTTGTGAGATTTAATCAGAACTCATTTACTGAGGTTTTAGTCTTTATTTTGTCTGGCATGGGTGCTGCTTTGCCCTATTCAAACTTTTAAAAAGCCCAAACATACATGCGTTTGGCCATTTTTATTTTACAAATCTCACCAAGATAAAACAATGTTAAAAGTGAAATGCATGTAAGCACATTTCACAGAAAACCACTTGCACGGAAAAGAGGTTGTAGGGAGGTGGAGGTCACTCTCTTCTCCCAGGTAACAAGTGATGGGACCAGAGCAAAGGGCCTCAAGTTGCACCAGGGCAGGTTTAGATTGAATATTAGGAAAAATCCCTTCACTGAAAGAATAGTCAGGGATTGGAACAGGCTGCTCAGGGAAGTGGTATAATGGCTATCCCTGGATGTGTCCAAAGATGTGTGGATGTGGCTTTTGGGGCACAGTTTAATGGTGAATATGGCAGTGTTTGGTTCTTAGAGGTCTTTTCCAACCTTCATGGTTCTATGATTCCGTGACAACAGTGAGTTTTCTTTCTTTCTGTGCACTCTCTCCACCATTACACTTTGTGACTATTTCAGAGATAGTCTGAGAGTTCTCTAATGTTTTGAGCGGTGAGACTGATATGCCAGTGGCTTGATGTATTCATTGCAGCTAACTCTAGCCATCCATAAATGAAGTGGCTAGTTTATGCAAATTGTTCAGCTTCCTTGCATGGTCAATACAGAGAGAGGCAATTCCATTAGGCAATTCCTATTCTCCTACATTAGCTTGGGATGAACGCTCCTCTTTTTCTCTTCTTTTTTTCCTTCAACTGCAAAAGGAGCGCAGACAATTATATTTTCTGGGTTACTGAAGACAGGTGAGGTGAATCCCATCAGAACAGCTTAACTGTACCCTGCCTGAATCTGTCTGCACCCTGCTATACTGAGGTGGGAAAAATGGAAAAGAACCTGTTTTATGCAATACACAGAACTGTGGCCCAGAGCAATAATGATGAACAGGAAATTATACCCTTCCCCTCAGTGCACATAAGCACAGTCTTTAATTTGAAATAACTTTATTAGAGTAAATCTTACGCCACCTTCAGTGAAATGGAAACAATTCCTACTACACCAACTAACTTTATTAAGCATTCTCTGTGTGTGAGCAAGCACAGGGAACAGAAACCCTGGTCAGCATGCTCTAGTGTAGCACAAATTTGACTTCTACAGTAAAGGTTACTCCAATAGTGCAAAGTATATCTGGAGGTCCATACAAAATCAAGTATAAAGAGAGTGTAACTGTCATCAACTACAGTGGAACCGTGATTTCACTTTAATGCGTGTTCCAAAAGCAGTAAAGGACAGCAGAAAGTAATAAGAAAAACAGCTACTGCAGCAAGTAATAGCTACAACAACAAAAAAATTAAAGAATGAAGATTGCCTTTGCCCTACAGATGATTTCCAAATGTTGAGTGAGTTTTGGTTTTTTGGTCTCCTAAACCCTGATGTCAGTCCTGCCAGCAGCCTGAAAATTCACAGGAACACTGTGTTTCCACAGAATATCAGGTTTTAATGTATTGGGTCACTCATTGCTACCCAGCTACCATACAAAGAGTTAGTCCCACTCAATCAAGAGTGAGAAAAAAGGGCTGAGGGACCATCAGCCAACTCCTGAACTTCCTTAGGACTGGAGAGGAGTGGGTCATAATCATAGCCTGGCCTCTGCCAAGGAGAGGAGGCCACTCTTCAGTATCCCAAAGCAAACAGATGCTTGTCTCAACCAACCTCTCCTATAGATCTGTCAAAGAACAAGCTGTCATCCACTTATTCTACCTAAATCTCCATCAGTACTAGAGATGGAAGAAAGGTACCCACAGAGTTAAACTGCAGCTGAACATGAAGGTCATATTTAGCTCTCTCCTATCAGGCCTCTTGTTCCTCTGAAGACCAATGCAGAAACACGGTTCTCCTCTAAATATTAGGAAAATGGATTTCCTAACATCCCTTTCTCTTCCTTAGCCTAAGATCATCAAAAATTATATATATTTATGATTTGAGAAGTACATATATACAATGAAACACTGGCTGGGGTTTTGTCTTCTATTTGTTTTTTATGAGACGCAAACCCTGTCCAGTAACAGTTCTTTTCAAATTCAGGATGTTTGTACTGAGGAAACTAATCCACTTGGATTAAAAAGTCATCCAGGATTGACTTTCAGCCCTATAGGATATCCTCCTCCAATGCTTCCTTGCTAATAGCTCACTGAAGACATATTACACAATTATCTTCCATAAAGGAAAATCACTACATTGATCCAGCTTCAGTAAAATATTAATGACACCTAATTAAATATCCCAGAGAGTTTCTTTTTCTTTTTCATTACAATATATTAATTTAAAATTGTATTAAATAATTTCGCAATGTTTTGACTTCTGGAAGAGATTAAGTAACAGGACACCAGTTTTAAAATACTGGCTTCCAAAACAAATATTCTCTTTCTTGCCAGCTGAAAAACCAGGACAGTCTGCACAGGCATTTAGGTATTTATCCAACTTGAACTGGGCTTTTCACTTTCCAGTAAGGGAAGCAGACTTACAGAGCACACAAAGGAACTGGATCTATTGCTCCCTGATGTAACCCAAACAGATACTGGGATACACCAGAGACAAATCCAACACATGGCATGTAACCTGCAAAAAGAAAATCCCAAGAGATCTCATTTTTTAACACCCTACTAGCATTTACCAGAGACTCTGATCCAGTTTCACAAATATATGCTAACTGTTTTGTGCCTGTCCTGTAATGGCAAATAGACATAAGTCTTACCTAGATAGTACTCTGTTTTATAAGCTATTTGAAACATTAAAACAGTAAAAACATACCCCACCAAAATTATAAAGATTTATCAGATAATTGTGCCCAAAACTCTATGGAAATAAAACTAATATGCACCATGTACCACAGATCCATTTACTTCTGTATACACAGCAGGTCTCACAGGCAAAATTTTACCCATCATGACATCTATGACATGACATGTGAAAATCTTGCCTATCTGGTTGTGATACCAGATGTAATTTTCTAACACTGCTGAGATGATTCTATGATCTTTCTCTTTTGTATAGCTCTACTGACTTTATAATGGTAAGAGAAATAAGAAACAGCAAAAATTGATTTTTAGACAAGGTGGTGCACAACTGTCACTGGCTCTGCATCACAGACAAACCCCAGGTGCTGTGAGGGCAGTGAAAATATAGCTCATCTTTCCTGCTGGAAGGTGCTACAACACTGCTACAACAGCTTCACTTCTGGCCTAGCAAGAATAACTGACGAGTAAGAAACTTTGCAGTGCTGAATCACTGCTCTTTGCAAAGTACTGTGTTACACTGAGGAAGGTGAGAAATGGCAGTCAGAGCTAAATTCTGGCAAAATTCCACAAATCAAATAGTTTTTACCTGTACAGTGTGTAGTCTCTGGATACAGATTTCAGCCTTCAAAAAAATCTCCATTTCCCTCCACTATACATTTTACCTAAAAGTCTTTTCAACTGATTTTCATTTGTGAAAATGAGCTGTAACCCGGAGTTACACCTGAAGCATCCCCTTTTACAATCCCTTATGTAATTCCTAATTTTTTGAGTTTGTCATCCCCCAAAAAAGTGCTAGATGATAGTAATAAGATCCCCTAACATTAAATAAGGAGTGAATGGGAAATGTCTGACTGTATTAGGAAGACCTAAATACATTTCACAGAAGTGTTACCAAAGCCTATAAAGTATCAAACACTAGTTATCTTTTTTAACTACACTGCTTCAGTAAAACAGTATGTGATGAAAATTAGACAAAAATAGCCTTGGAAGCAATACTTGAGAAAGAACAAATATTGGGCCAATCCTAACCTGACCCTAAAGTCAGGTAGGCTAAATGTAAAAACTAACCTTCTTGCCTCAGTCATCCCTTTTTCTTCTTTAATTCTCTCACATCGGACAACACAACCTTCCCAGCCTCAAGCACAGTGAGACTGAACATTAAAAACAGAGGGTCTAAGAGGAACATTTATCACTCCAGCTACAGGTACCTGTATAGAGGAGCAATGAATCGATTTTTCAAGCGCTCTATCATAATCTATACCCTGACAAAGTATTTGGAACCAATGCCACGGCCAACAGTCTTTTTTTGGGATAATTACCACAGCATGAAACACCACAGTCTGCAGAATAGGACCAAGGAATTTGGCACATTTTCCACAAGCTCCTATGACTACCTATAACATACACATGGCCAAAACCTCTATTAGTGGATCAGCTCAGAAACCTACTCATATAGTCTGGTAAAACTAATGAGAATATCACTAACCTCACTGGGCCATGATTAAGATTCAGCTTCTATAGTAGTGCCTCAAAACTAATGTTTTCAAATGACCTCATTCTGCCACTGCAAGTGTGCAAAGACAGTAAGATTTTAAGAGCTGACAGCCCCAGAAACTAAAACAAAATGTTATTCAGTCCTATACTTGCATTTATTTGTAGTACAAAAATCTGTTCTGTGTGTTTCAGGTTGCTATTTTGTAATGGCAGTCACAGAAAACAAGAATTTTAAAAAAGAAGAAAAAGCGAAATCTGAAATCGGTCCTTAAGTATTTCAGTGGCTACATCTGTTTAGGTAGATTATTTCACTTAATGAAATGCAGGTCAGGTCATTACCTAAAGCAAATGCTAATATGTAGTTTTAATGTTTAGTAAGGAAGCCCTGCATAGATGTTGCAAGTGTGGAACATGAATTTGTAATGATACAGTACAACAAACCACACCTATTACTCAGCCAGGAAGTAGTGATTATCATGACAATGGAACAGGAGTAACAAAAAGTCCAGTGAGAACAAAGTGAAGTATACTGAGATTATATGTCTCCAAAAAGCAGCAGCTCGCATGAGAAATAACCCATGAAAAACATCTGGGAGCGTTTGACATAAATGGAAGCTGCAGTTCAGATGTTGGACACAGCATAGTACAAAAGCACTAAACAATCACTGGTAAGACAGATGCTCCTGAGAGGCAAGACAGCAAGCATACTACAGTACCATCTTCACCAACTTATTTTTGCATAGATAATGCTGATATTCAAGAATACAGTGTGACAAAAAGAAAAATGCCAAGTTCTTTGAAAAAGTTGGTGTCATTCTTTACTCAAATCAAAGGAGAAGAAATATAGTTGCTGAAAGCTCTTTTAAAGTTAAATATATAATCTGAAAAAAACTGCTGAAAGATTACTTTGCATTAAGTCCTGTTGCAGATAAAGACAAAGTCTGCAATGTATCACAACTCCTTTACAGTTTGCAGGTACTTTGTATTGACTAGCATTGGAAGTATCCACAAAAAAAAGGTAGGACTGGCATTCAGTGTGCTTAGTAGTTATTATTCTGAAAAGTCTTACAGTCATCTTTTACAGCATGGACTACGGAAGAACAATTTCTTCTGACCAAGGATTCCTCACAGCACCAGAAATGAAGCAGTAAGGATAGCCAACTGATCCCTCAAAGATGTGGGCTAAGAATAAGACAACTCTCATACTAAAGCACAAGCATAATTTTTCTAAAAAACTGATTAACAGCTAAACTTGTAAACCAATTATTTTATTTTTCTTATATGAATACTTATCATCATGTAATCCATTATAATATATTTTTATTTATATATTATAAAGATTATAACTAAAGTAATCTTTAAAATCACCTGTTGTACTGGCATGACACAAATTACATCTCTTGCAAAACTCTTTGGTGAATTATGGATTTTTATGCCTGAATCTTTCTTGTGACATTCTCTTGGAATTTACCAAGCCAGTATGGTAGCCTTGCTGCCACAGACCTAATCCTACAGCATGTAAGTGCCTTTCACTTAAGTTATGGATGGGGAATACAGTAACTTAAAGGTTATGTTAGCAGCCCAAGGTTACCCCGAAGGTTTGTAGCGGAACAAAGAACTGAAATCAAGAGATTGCCCTTCCTCCCTTCCAAACATCAGTTACTTTTCATTCATGCATTCAGGTAAAAAACTTGAATGCAACAACAAGGGACATACAAGCACAGCTTACCTATCTATATTACAGGATAAGTGCTGATAGCAGCACACTTCTGGTAGTTGATTCGGGAAATGTAAATGTCTGCTTCATTTAGCTCAAAACACCTACTTAAATAAACACTTACTTTGTCTTAAGTCCCAATATTTAATCACAAATGCATCATCATTTTTCAGTATACTCAGTTCATATATTAGATAAATAAAACACCACTTACTGAATAACACCATCTTCCATTGAGGTAATATAAAAAGGGATCTTGAGGCTTAAGTTCAATCGCCTTGTCTAGATGCTCCTATTGGAAAGAAAATTAGTACCCCTTTAGATGTTTGTTTGACAATTGTGTTTACTTTCTAAGTAGTTTGCTGCAAGTCAGAAACAAATTCAGTAATTCTCTTCTGCTGCAATTCTTTTCTAACAACCTAAAAATATATTAACTAGCAAACCCCTTCCTCATGGAGGGAAACCACAAATGAAATTATTTAGTAAAGTTGCACACAATGCAACAAGGCATGCCATATTTAGAACATGACTAAGCAACTCTAAAGTTCAATCAAATAACTCAAGAACTTTTGTCTTAAGAAAAACAACAACTTCAATTAATTTCATTTACAGTTAGTATTAGAAAAATCACAGATCAAATAAGTGAGGAACCAATTATTCTCTTTGATAGATCTTGTATGTTAGCACACATCACTGAAGCATAGTCTCTTCCACCTTAGAACGTGACTGCTCCAATGAAATGGTACTTGACACAACCAACTGTTACTATAATGTGAAATTCAAAAAATAAAATGGTTCTGTTCATAGTGAAACCATAAAACCTAGGAAATATCTAATGAGATCCTTCTTCCAAAATCATTTTTATTACAGGTCATGAGTCTCTTTATTCCCCTCTTTAATTTACTAAAGAAAGCTCTTATCGCTCAACCTAAGTTTGAAGAAAAAATAAGTAGGTCATTTCACCCCTACCATTTGCCTCTCAAAATAAATTTCACTTGAACCTTTCTTTTTTATCCCCCAGATATCTTTCTAATTCAGCCAGTCACAAAAATATTTGAGTTATACAGATCTAAGAGACTGTTACGCTATCATTTTGTCCACAAACTATTCAGATAGGAGCTACGTTTTCATACTACTATTTTCCCAAATCCTTAACATTTCCACACAATTCAACAGATTTCAGTATTTACTAGTGAGGAGGAAAACCTCCCTGAAAAGGCTACTGCTCATACCAGGAACTCTTAAAACTCAGCTGCAGCACTTATGTTATTTGTCATTATCCCTTCGTTCCCAGCTTGTCCCTGTGCTTGGAGCTCAGCTCACTTGGCACAGCTCAGATGTAATTTTTGCTCTCTCACAGGAAAGCTCTGCCACACTCCAAGTCCTAACACGGACGTGATGTGACAGGAACCCAGACCAGGCATTCCCCAGGAACTGGAACATTGCTGCCTCTCACTGACACCCAGAAAGGGGGGACACCAGCTTGGAAGGTAAGGGATGGATGGAAAGTGTCTAAGCAATGCTGAGGACAAGGACAGGGAGAGTAGCACATGTAACACAAGTAACTAAACCTAAAAAATACAATTACCTTTGAAAGGACAGCGTTAAAAAATATATTATTTAAGGGTGACATGAAGGATGATTGCAGAACTGTGTTAGTTGATCACTTACTATTTCATATGTTTTGATTTTCGAAACAGAATTGTTATTCCCTTTTCCTCCCCCCTTTGATTACAAAATAAACCAGAAATCTTAATGCTGTTCCCAGAATCCTACCTCAGTTCTTATATTGTGTAAGTATATAATCTATTTGCATATATAAAAATAACTTTTTTGCTTTAACTTCAGCACCAAAATAGACCTGTGAGGCTGAATTACTGTGTTGGAAAAGTCTGTCTTTGACACTATATAAGGAAATAACTTGAAGGAATAGCTTTAAAAAAAAAAAAAACAACCCCAAATCCTACAAAAACATACCTTAAAGAGATAACCATTCCTGATTTTGTTTTGTACACTTTCAAACTGAGACATATAGCCACACATAATTGCAAACCTGAGAGGGGAAAAGAAAAACACACACACATACTTTTTGTGATTTAAATAAACCTTTGAATTAAATTACAAAATATTTCAATACCTAGTTCACAGATTAACACCTGGGGTTGTTTTCCATCTCGATACTGGATGGAAGTTTGGCATAAGCTATACATATTCAGGAGCAGACGAAAACACAGATCAAAAACAAAATAATAACGGAAACAAGAAGTTTAAATGACACTATCTGGGCCGTCAGTGAAGTGAAAAACCAGAGATTTCTCCTCTCATATTTCTACCATATAGTTCAGAGTATGACACTTCCAGACTGGCTCTACCACTGTCAGCAGTTTGACACATTGTGCTCTGCATTGTACTGCACTGGGAACATGAACACCGTCAGCTGCAGAACCTCACCTGGGAAGGCAAATACTGGGGGTGTGCTCAGTAGGAAGCTGCACACACAAAATGTTCACAGCTGTCTTCTACCCTTTTCAAGCACCTTGGTGCATTCCTGCACTTCTGGCATTCTTCTAATATCTTCAAAATTACCTAAAAACATACACACACGTTCTGCTCTAAGAGGATCACTACTGCTATCACTAGATCATTATTATTTCTATTATTATTACTATGATTATCGTAAATTTGGGAGACTGATAAAAGAAATGTGAGATAATTTCTATATAATATTTGTATTGTTAAGCAGGTATAACTGAAAATATTTTCAGAGGTTCCCATCTATAAAGATTCAGATCTCCTAAGCAACACTACTGTTTTATTGACACTCCATCTAAATTTCTATTGCTTTCTTCCTATTACTTTAACAATTACAGAACCTCTATGCATAAGGAATCTCTTGCACAGACATCAATTGTCCTTTCCTTGGACCTATTTTCATTGGTATTAAGACAACTTTGTATTTCTGTATAAAACTAACAGAACCATCAAAGAAATAGTTAAACAGTCAAAACCCATGTACATTATTTTTCTATTTTTTCAGAATTTTGCTTTTTTACTAAATATTTTACAATGCAATACCAAATCAAAGGAAAAAATAATCTTAGAAGAGGGAAAGCCAAAGACCAGAGGAAAATATGAGTTATGCAAGAAGCTTATTGAGTTAATTATGGTAACAGAACCCCAATCTGGATGGCACACACAGGTTTTAAGCATTACTAAACATCAGCTTTCTTGAATTTCTTTATATAATGTAATTATTCAAGCTCCAGTGAATCCTCATTAAAACATCAATTAAAGACATTATTTTATTGCTTACAGTTATACCTAATGGTTTTAAGTTAGAAACACTCATGCTAAAGGTCACTGCATTTTTTGGTCAGCAAGTGTTCCCAGGTAAGGAACGGAGTCAGCATAACAACAGCAGCTGAATTTGTAAGAGCTTCAGACAGACTGTCAAACACTGTTGAGCAGGATGTATGTTGTGACCAACGTGCACTGGACAAAATCCAGCTAATGGCAGCTCTACTGCTGATAGAGCCGCAGCAGAAGCACATTTTGTATGGGAATGAGCTGCAATTGAGGGAAAAAGCAAGGGGTGGGGGTCAGGAAAGTTCAGGTATTTAGAAAGAGGGGGAAGGTACTGAAAACTTCATTAGGTTTAAGTAACTCAGGCAACATTGCCCCTATTCCCTTCACTCATTAAGTGCTAATCAGATAAACTCAGCATACCATAGCTAAACGGATTGCTGCTACAAAAGAAAACAATGAAAAGCGAACAAGCTAATCCAGCATCTTGCAGTATTTCCCTGTCTGTGCGTGACAAGAAAGAGGGCCTTAGTTTAAACTAGTTCAAAGAAAAATTTCTACTTACAGCTAAAATCTCTGGGGAGGGATATCCCAACAAAATTTTCAATGTATTAAAAGTAAGCTAACCTACTAACTTTAAATATGCATTACTTTTTCAAGGAAAAATTAAAAATGTCTTTCACATATTTGTCTTTTTCTTTTTTTAAATTTTATACTTTTGAACTAGGCTAGCCAGCCAATTGATATAAAAGAATGATTTAATTTTTGGCATTTAATTTTCAAAAAAACCCAACACCCTAAAGCAAAGAAAACAAAAAAGTGTCTTTTGTTTCCAGAAGATAATCTTTAGGCACTTTAAATATTTTTCAAAGAGTTTAAAACACAAAGCAAACTTTATTTTCAGTGATGCAAAGACTAACGTTAATCATAGATTGGTTTGGGTTGGAAGGCACCCTAAAGATCATCTAATTCCAACTCACTGTCTAGGGCAGGGATACCTTCCACTAGATCAGGTTGCTGAAAAGCCCCATCCGACCTGGCCTTGAACAACTCCAGGGATGTGGCAGCCACAGCTTCTCTGGGCAACCTGCTCCAGTGCCTCACCACTCTCACAGCGAAGAAAATGATCAGAAAAAACGAGGCAGGAGGTAGAAACGCTTCCATTTGGTTCCTTATTCTTTGCCGCACGCCGGCCTCAACCCTGCCACTCCCTGGTCACCTGCCCCATCTCGTGGTGGCAGGGGGGAATACTAAAAAGTTTATCACAAAATAACGTGCAAATACCCTATGAAATGGGTAAAACGCACATGCATTTTGGTAGAGCAAGTGATACTGGCTCTCCTCACTACCACTGCCTGTCTTACAGACTTTGAATATCAGGGTTAAAATACTGTTTACTGTTTCTCTTCACAGAGAAAATGAAAAAATCATACCAGTGAAGAGCTGCAAGGAATGATGTAACTGCTGAGCTAATGCTACTCCTGGGTAACATAAAAAAAGAGCCCCAGACACGTTCATCTAGATAAACACAATGATCATTACCCCATTAAGGCAGATACAGTACTTGGGTTGGCATAAAAAACATCTTATTCACAGATGGAAGAAAAGTTACTGAACATGGTTTAGAGGTATACAGGTCAACCATCCACAATTAACACTCCTTTAATAAGCACAAACACAACCAAAGAAACTCAGTAATAAGTCAGTATAATGTCCTTTTGTTAAAAACGTTGTAATTGAAACTCAGACTTTCAAGAAACTGTAGCTGACAGAGAAGGATAACAAATGCCTACATGGCCCTCATGCAGAGGGGTCCAGATCAAAGTGACTTAACATTTTCCCTTCTGGTGTTCCAGAAATTCTGTATGTATTCAGGCAAGGTAAAACTGTAAGGGGCATACCTTATCTGTTGCAAAAGGGAGAACAGCATGTTTTATCAACTCGATTTGAATCTTAATATCAAAAATGCTACCAACACACAAGACTCTGGCAACTACAGCTTATTCCATATGAGACGGATTTACAGAAAAGATTTTGAAGTCTCAAATCCGCAATAAGCCACACTAGGGCACATGAATACAGAAAGTTTTACCTTTTCCCTGATAAATCTCGCAGGGCCAAAATCAGAAATAACATTTCTGCATTTTCCCAGGCTTGTTCCTCACTCTTCTATATACCCTTTCATATATCCCAAATCTAAAAAACCCTCTTATGTCATGTAGACTTTGGAAATGTGTGGGTACAGGGCTTACATTTCGAAATCTAGATCTCCATTTTAACATCCTAGTATCAACAGGAAAGTTTTTCTCAGTTGTAAATGGTAAGACTTTGCCAATTGAAGGAGAGTTTGTGATATTTACCAATATCAAAGAATACAACTCGTCTGTTCCATAGCTGTTTTCCACTCCCTCCTCTTCATTCGAGAAACATTTAACATGTAAGGTAGTATAAGCAAAGGCTAATGTGTGGGTAGCACATGAGAGACCCAGTGAAAAGAAAGCTCATTTTCATCCCAGTTCTAAATGTGTTCTTAAGTTCCCTCACCTCCGCACGGCTCAGTCCTGTGCATGCCATCACTTCTTAGCCATCCACTCACTCACTCACTCACTCACTCACCAGTTTCACACACTTACAAATTCTGACAGTCTCTGCAAAGTAGCCGGACTTCTTTTTAACATGATTTCAATGAGATATCAATTTCTATGTAGGGAGATTTTGCAACTCAAGTTACTGATTATGACTCTGCTGAATAACCCTTTCTGAGATCACAGTTTTACATACTTTAAATTGTACCACTTTCCTGCCAAGATACTTAATCTATAAAATTGCATCTGGGTTTAGATGGAGAGGTAGAGATGGAAAGATACCACCATCCTCCTTGGGGTGTGAGTGTGGAAGAAGTGGCTGAGAATGTGTAAGACTGACAACACACAAAGTAAGATGTGCCAAGGTGTGAAGCTAAGTGTTCAGGTGGGTTTTTTTCATGGGGATTCCTTCCCTTTCCCTTTCCCTCTCCCTTTCCCTCCCCCTTCTTGGAATACAACTGAGTCTATATTGTAGACATTGGCAGAAATATAGTTTTCATATTAAAAATTTACCAGAGCACTGAAGCAGAGGTACAGGGAAACATCAGATGTAGCTCACAGTTGCTTACGTGATACTTGCAAAAACATGAGAAACAATCCCCTATTTTGGTTAAAAAACCCTGAAGGTAAGGATGTTCAAGAATTCTGGCTTAATAATTTACTGTATGTATACCATGCCAGTGTTAATGTGTATTCACAGAAGTTCACCAGTAGAACATGTGGATGGCATATTCTGCATCTCTTAGGCTGTGCAACCCAAAACTATGTTAAATTTCTGTGTTCCAGAAATGTAACTTCTTGTTTTATAACAGACAGTTGTTATAGATAGAAATACAATCTTGAAGAAATTAACAGGATAGTCTTCACAAATGTGGAAACAGAGTGAAATAATAGCTTTCACAGATAGTAACACAACAATTTTCCTTGACAGACATGTAAAAGGAATCACTAGGTTGCCAGTTTTATTTCCTCTGTGACCATCCTGGCAAAAAGCTTGTAGTAAACTGATCTTTTCACATGTCAAACCTACCTCCTCTGCACTTGCATGAGGACGCTGCAGTGTTTCACTGATCCACTTACTACAGAATAAGTTACAGCTTTTCAGAAATGGCTTCTGGATTTGAAATTTTAAATTATTTTTACAAAAATAATTAAGTATTTAAAA